CTCCCATTTTTTTCACTGTGCTATGTTTTAGATCCAAATCACAAAGGCAACATCAGCATAAGAAGTTTTAATTTAGGGATGTCCAGTTGATGCAAGAGTACTTTGGCACACAGCATTATTAAGGTGCAACAAGTTCCTAATTAATTTATAGGCAAACTAACAGTCAATATTTTTAGCTGATATTCTGTGGAGTAATGAGCACTTATGTCAGGAGAACTAAGTTACAGTTTTTAATTTTAGTGAATGCATATGCTACCCAATCCCAAACCTCTGGACAGTGTATAAAAATATTAGAACCATGTAAACTGACTTATAATATTAAAAAACACAACAGGTGGCCACCCTTAGTCACTAGGAATACAGTTCAACTCAGGAAGACTTTACTTTTATTCTATGGTATGAAACAAGCCTAAAATGCGGCAGCCTAAAAGGGATTTCCAGGTAATAAGTGGCTGTCTGTCCCGGAAGTATATCCAGTCTGGCATTGCGGATGGAGCACAGGCGGCTTCTGGTGAAAGGAGTTGGCACACTTGTTTGGGCTTTCATTTCTAAACAATAAATCTCACTACTACTTTTCACAGATATTGCTTTAGCCATGCTGAGGTTTCCTATGCCTAAAGCTGGAGTTATCAACACAAATTATTCTGAGAGCAGTGCCTCCTGTGCTACTCAACAGCGAAGGCTCCGAACAGCTCGTCACGCCATTACTGCACTTCGTTGAAACACAAAGAGCGCGTAACTTAGACGATAAATCAGACGCCACAGAACAAAAGCTTGTCCTCCTAGAAGCAGCGTTAGATCAAACGACCGAGCAAGCAACTTGCACTGCGCTAGGCAACGCTTGCGCGAATGTGCGCAAAAGCAGTCTACTGGGAGCATGCGCAGAAAGAGCTCGTTTCCTCCCTCGGAGCGGGCAGCTTTGCCGTTTCTCAGAGTGCGCAGGCGCACGAGCGACCAGGCGACGGAGCCCCTCCTCCTCTGGCCTGCTAAAGGATAAAGGCGTGCTGGACGTCTGCACTCGCCTTCCTCCTCCTCCTGGAAGCGGTTCCTCCGTCGCCAGCGGCATCACAAGGACGGGGAGCCGACATAAGGCAGGAGAGCTGCTGGCCTTGGCGATAGAAGGTGGGCTCCCGCCTCGCCCACCCTGGCGGGCTTCCCTCGGCTTCTTCCTCCCCGGCTCTTCCGCCGCCTACCCGCTCGCTCGCT